GTTGGTCAAATTCATGGTATATCATTAGAGTATTGAGTGTATAATATGTGTTATTTTTTTTTTACCTTCAAAATTCACACGCACCATTCTGTTTTTGTTTTTAAGTTTCTTCTTCTTATTCTTCCATTATCTCCAGTTACTTTTTTTTCCACTTCATGCTTCATCTCATGTTTTTCCTCTCCTTTCTTCGTCTGTTCATCTTCTCCATTTAGAATATCAGTTACAAATTCATTTTTCTACTGATGATATACACAACTTTTTCCGCTGTTATGAGATACATTTTTTTCTCCGTGATTTTCTCCATCATCATAGATCTAGGCGTAAGGGTTTGAACGTCAACAGAGGATAATGGTAACTTCCAACAACTGTTTCAATTGTGGTTCAGACATGAGTTTTAGATTTCATTAGAAAACTAGGAAATGTCGATGTCTATATTTGTGTGTTGGTTGTTTGTTGTCTTGTTTGGTTAGTTGGCTTACACACGTTTCTGGGTTTGATTGGGGTGTGGAAATGTAAGTACATGTGTTTTTGTAGGGATGATGCCAAATATACCAGCTGAACGATTTGGAAAATATGACTACTATATAAGCAACATAAATAGTATAAGATGTTTTGCGTATAGTTCACATGTTTCTGGACTATACAACTAAATAGTATAATACCCCCATGTCTACTATATTTGTTGTTTATGTTCATATGAATAGGTTCCCTATGCATTTTGGGTTTTACTCTTGGTACAACCTTATTTAGATTCTCACATTGTTTATTTTCATTGGATAGGCGGATCATAAAAGGCAATGTATGTGGTATAAGGCCAGCTTATTGGAGGCTCACAACATCATGCACAACCAACAATACGAAAATAAACAGCTCAAAGCAGTGAACAATGAATTACTATGTGAAAGAAATTATGTTTATGAAGGCTTTAACGCTTCCGGTGATACCCCTATTTTGATGATAATTAGAAGCTTCAAGTCAAAGTTCTCAAGGCTGATGAGAGAGAGAAATTGCTTTGAAAATTTATTGTCATTTCCTGGGAGGGATTTTTCGTAATTACTGCTATCAGTGGCTCCAGGGTTTTGAATTAACTCATTAAAGAATGCTCTTCCTCCGCACCTGTCTTGTACTCGTTTTCACTTTAATTATATTCTCATGAAGTATTTTGGGCTGCCGCAAAAAACTACCATGTTTTTCTTCTCTTATATGTCATTTTTTGTGACTTAAATATCCTAACCGTGTTTGTTATAACTTTGCTTTCCATTTCATTGCATAGTAAGTTATACTTATGTACTATATTAAATGATGTTTCCCTTTGTTTCATCTATAACCTATTCTATCTTGCGGTTAGTAGAGAATGTATGGTCATGTTTGTTTGCTTACCTTCAATAATTATCCTCTATTATGTGTGTCTATCTAGCCTCGGTCCATGTCATACATTAAGGCCACTGCAACTTGTATGAATTCATGTATTGAGGATCTGACTTACTTATCTAAACTAATATAGTATAGTTTTTCTGGGGTCACCTCTTACCTATATATTTGAAACCTTATTCAACCTCACATAAGAACGTGGAAACAAAGCGAACTTGGAGGTCTATGGTTATTACTAAAAGGTGGGCATACTACATTGAATATAGTATAGTCTCGTTCCCATGCATGGGTATATTGGACATTGTTGCCTCCTTATGAATATATAATTACCAATTGTTGTGTGTGTGTCACAAAAATTGTATTTCCTTTCCATTTGTAAGATGGAGGAGTTAGAATTGCATGTGCGTTTGTATCATACAGGATACAAACCAATTGGTAGGAAAATAATAAACAACAATTTCAATTTTTGAGAGATTGAGTGATAAAGCAGCCCCTTTTCCGATGTTCAGATGGAGTAGTTGGCGGAATCAAAGTTCAGAAAGCTAATAGGAACACATACATTTTCAGTCATGTTTGTCCACTTTTTCCTTTGTTTAGTCGCAAAATGTGACAAATTTTTAGGTTCCTATGTATTATATGCGATAAAGAATTACAATTGTATTGTGACGTAGTAGAGAAGTTACATTACTATATTATAACATTTTTAATATAGTATAAACGTCAATTGCCATACACAATTTCTATATTACATTCCACCACCCGTAAGTTTACTAGTTGTAGTCTTTATTTCTTCTAGCGGCAGCTAACACATTGTCACAGTTGATAAGCTCCTTGTGGTTAATTATTGTGCATAACATAGTCAAATAAATAAGGCATTTGTTTCCATTAAACAATACCATACTATATGTTGTATAATATAGTAACATATGGTGCTAAGTTCTGCCTATGGTTATACTATAGGAAATATAGTATAGTAATATTAGTTGTTCATTTCACGTTGTGTCAATATGTTCCTAATATAGGACAGACTTCTAATTTTGCATCCTTTACATTCAAATATTTTTGTCTAATGCATATTTTATTGAATCAAATTTAACATGCGTCTATCAAAGCCATCCCGTTTGTGTTTATTGTTCGTACAAACTTATGTAAAATGGAAGGTGTTCTGTAGAGTTATTACTATCTGACTATACACTGCGATTTATCATGTTGTTCAGTTAGTCAGCTTCTTGAATACATTTATTTATTAAATGTAATTTTGTATATAGTTTCCTCCACAAGTTTCACTACCCCAATCACTTTTTCTATCATAGTTGTTTCTTGCATCCTACAATATATTTCCTAACACCTAGCCTTCAACTGTTATATCTTTTTCTACAACACATATGCAACTAGAACCATATACACCTTCAAGGTGAGCTCATATGTTTCTACGGTGACCATATTACGTTATATATAGTATAGTATAGTGTTGACATTTGTATAAGATAATGCCTTAAGTGTGTAGTTTCTTAGTTTAATAGAAGATATAATTATTATCAGACACATAAAGAAATAGACGAGAACTTATCTTCTTAAAATAAAATAAAAAGATTGTGTTATGATAGATATGTGACTTAAAGAAAAAAAAGGAACGGAAAACATATCTTTTAGCTTTCCATATCATTTTCACCCGCTGACATGGAGAGAATGGGCACAATTGTGTTGTAATTGTCCCTTCAATTTCCTGCAAATGTAATATTCGCTATATTTTTCATTTTCATATCTCCTATGAATATTAGATAAATTCACCCTATTTAAAAACCTATCTAAAGATATAAACAAATCTTTTAAGAAATGAATTAATATATAATTAAAGTTATGTCCAAATTAAGTAAAACAAATATTTATTATAAAGTCCAAAATGATGAATTTTGATATAAACTATTTATCTAAATAAATAATTTTGTTAGAAAATAGTTGATATGAAGAGTAGTTAAAGGGGTATACAAAATCTCAGCAATTTTTGAACACTAATAACCAACCGGCAAATCACACACTACTAACCAAGTGACAGATCATTTTTATAGGTTCCATTATTTAGTTTTCAATTGATTAAAAACTTTTCACACCAAATAATCCACATACTTATATCTATTTTTTCAAGATTCAGTAAAAAGTATTCAACAGTCAAAAACTTTATTTAACAAGACCATTGTAAATGATCTTAGTGGTGCCAAGATGACTTAACACCTTCATGTCGACAGCTCGTCATGAATTCAAGTAGCTCGTCATTATTAGCTTATAATATACCTCAAATAAAAAAGTAGATCAGGAACTAGTTATTTCCAGAGTTGATGTTAAATAAATATATTAATACAAATTAATCCAAAAACACAAAACTATACAAAAAGAAAGAAAATCATAACATAATTTATGTAAGTACTTATGGCTGTGAATGTGATACGAATATCTATTATGTGAAATCAGGAGAACAAAGTTTTCCAAACAACAAATCATCCTCATTTAATTTGTTCAAAGAGACAAGATGAAACCAACCGAACATTAATACTCTAAAGTGTAACTACGATGTTTGATTTTAATTTGAATACATGAATCGTAGTAGGAGGCTGGATTCTCATAGATCACTTTGGGACAGCAAAACTACAGGGATCAGTCTTCAAGGATGTTTAATAAAATCCAACTGTACTAAAAACTAAATATAAAGCTCTCTAAGCTATGTCACATTTGCATAAAAAATCATTTAATAAGAATACTTTTTTCGCCATGTCAACACGAAATTGAGTATTTTGGGCTTCACATTTTTTTTTAATTTGTTTTGATTAATATTTGAGATCCATTAAGCACAAATCCTGTAAAAATATTTTTTTTTCTTTCTTCTCAGTTTCTTTGCAAAACGTATTCTGAACTTTTGATTTCTATCCAAGAGTCCGCTGATTGATTCCTCTTCCTTTCTTCTCATCACATTCTCTACAAAACCTTTACCATAGCCAAGAGTCTTTTTATATAACTTCAGGCTTCTGAAACTTTTATTCTCGAAATCAACTTTTGTGTGGTTCCCTTAGAAATCCTATGAGAAAGTGGTTATAGACGTTCCAGACAAAAAAGAAAAAAGAAATTAAAGAAGGGGAATCCGATAAGTTACAAAGAGATTTATGACAAAGATCTAAATGATGTTCTCTTCTCTAAACTCTGATGGTTTCATGGTAAAAATATTTGATTCAAAAGCACTAAAATTATAGCATTTTGTTTTGTTTCGTCTCTAAACATGAAATAAACATCTGATTTGTTTGACTTGATTTTGTGCACTTATGATCCTGAGAGAGACATAAGGCTTGCTAACAAGGTCTTGAATTAGGAAGGAAACCCTAGAAAAACTGAAGGTTTTTGTAGGATCTCTTGAATTCTCTGAACCATTTGGTTGTTGTAAGAAAACTTATTGTTCCTTTGTGTGTTTTCCTCTGCTAAAGGGTTTTGTTTTTGTTATCATACATTTTCACTTTCGATATTGCTATCATTTTTGAGTTTTTGCAGACTAAGTATGATAATATGAAACTGAGGCTACTTCATGATAAAACCCACCATAAAGAGAAAGGAGGAGGAACATAGAAATCAGACCTGGAAAATCAATGAAAGGTAAAAACGACGAGGTTTATCATCATTTATTGTTCTTTCTCATGTTTTTTTCTTTACATGAAGATATTTCCATTTGAAAACTATATACTTTTAGTAAACTCTAAGTATGCTTCAAGATTTTCATGCCATTTTAGTTTGTTTTCTCAAGCATTTAACCTTTACTAACGATCTTTTGTTTAAACCCTTGATTTTAGTTGCAGCTTCAGTATGTTTCTTGAGGAAAGCATGGTTCATCATCATTCTAATGTATTTTGTATCCGTTTTTCCATGTCTCTAAAAGACCTAATACTCAATCTCAGTGAACTAACCTCATTTCTTAACCTTTCTGGAGTTGTGTGTGATCATGATTTTGTGGTTTCTTTCTCACGGGTTAGCACATTGGGGTACATTCCATCACATTACCGTGTTATGAGGTAGGTGATCTTTTTGTTTGTTCAATACTCTGTGATCTGCGCGAGTGGTTTCACTAATTCACCAACAAAAAAATGCAGGAGGGAGCTTCATAGACCAGAAGGAAGCGATGACGAGGTTTATGACTTGGTAACTGGTTTGCTTTTTGGGGGATTGCAAAGGCTTACAAAAGAAACTGGTAAGGAAGGAAATTTTAAAGTAGAAGTATGTTTATCAAATGATTTCATTGGTTTGGATTTCACTAACTATCTATAGTGTATAGTCCCAAGAATAAACTACACATTCTTTGTGGGTTTGGTGAAATGTGAAAATTATGAGTGGAGCTCAAGTTTTGGCCGTACGATGCTCTTAATTTTCTCTATTTTAATACTTCTTTTATGTATCAACATGCACTCAGAATTCACCTGTTGCATGGGATTATGCTAGATGATATTTCTTGGTAGCTCAATTTTGCTGACCACTATTCATATTTTGGCTTAATTGGTATGGTATGTACTCTCACATAGTAATTTATGCTTTCCCTGAGCTATAAACCATACAAGAGTATGTTGCCAGTAATCCAGGTATTTCTCCCAGTTAATGGTTTCTTCACTTCTGTAAATTTATGGCAATCTGGAGTTAAAAGTTGTAGTTAAAGTTTTATGAACAATCTCTCATCCTTTTGCGCAATGTGAATTCTTCAAGTCATATGATATCTGTAAAAGATAGGATCCCTATGTGCATTTGATTTTTATATTCTACTCAATTCATGAAATATCCAGATGGTCTGATGCTTGAAAAGGGCCAATACACATTCCTCCTTCATGGGATAAATGCTGTTTACTTCGGCTACAAATTAGATGATAAATCAGATTGTGGTTCTGAAATGTGTGTTGGCTTTGATTACTGCATGTATATTATTACTTTGTATTGTAGTCTAGGAAAGATTTGTTTAATGTATTGATGGTTTTGTTTTGCCAGTTGCTTGCGGCTGGAGGTGGAATGTATGTGGAAGTTTTCAACAGAGTGACTCTATTGGCTTACAACATCATAAAGAAGAATAAAGTCGAAGAAACTAACACTTACTTGGATGGATCTACTTTCGTTTTACTTACTTAGCCAAACTTGAATCCATTACACCAGTCGTGACTGTTCTTACTGCCCATCACGACATTATCCGATTTTATTCCTTAAACATAAAGAAGAAGTACAACTGAAAAGATGATGAACATTGCATGTGTGAATGTGACCACATTTAGGATTCTAGATGTTCCTTCCGAATTTAAGTAAACATATTTTTATTTCGTAACTGTCTTATCATTTTTTAATAGTGCTCTGTTTTATTTATCTACGAGTGTGAGAAACTGTAATGCAATTTTTATTATATCAGCTATTTAAACTCTTTCGTTTAATGTGAAAAGTAAGTTTCGATTTGATGATAAACTATATTAGTATATCTGCATACTATAAACACATAAAGACTAATGACTTGGCATAGAAGAATATGTTGATAGCTTATCAACTTTCTTGAACTCTGGGAGAAACATCTGAGAATGTATGCATAGTTTAGCAAGTATAAAATTGTTTTCATTATAGCTGGATAAGTTAATTAGATGCAATGATTATTGAATTGTGACTTTATTATATTATGCACAGGTTACATTTTTTTTTCTTTTTTTTTTTGACTAACGCAGGTCATATTGAGATTCTCTATTTCTTTGAGGTTTATGTCTCTGTAAGATTCAACAAAGCTGCTCAGATTGTGGTATTTTATCCGTTACTTTCTTTTGATTCAAGAGTTTTCAGTTTTATTCCAAGTTATATTTCCTTCTCTGAAAGGAAGAAGCTAGGTGCCTTTTTGGCATCCACCAAACCAGGAATGAAATTTTTCATATATTGATTTTATAACTTTTTGCAAAAAAATAGTTTTTATTTTATTTTAATTATATAATTGATTCCACCCAAAAAAGTAAATATACATATACACAAAAAACTGCCTTTGAATATGAAAATATTACAAATGCTACAAAATAAATAAACAAATATAATGTATAGCTAAGATATAAATAAGTGGTGTTAAACCATTTGAAAACTCACAACTAAAGTTTAATTACCAATTTTTTACATTTCACCAATGTCAAAGACAATTTTAACCAAAATAGCAATTTTTTTTTCCTTTCCAATAGAATATTTAAAAAAAAAAAACATAATTCACGCGTATTGCGAACACGAACCTAGTTATTATGATACAAAAAAAAAATTAGTATAGCCCTTGCATAAAAGTGATACATATAAATTGAGAAATAATCCAATTTTCTCATTTACAAAAAAAAAAACTACGTGGATCAGCAATGTTAAGACTAGCATCTTCTAAAGCACTTCTAATAGCAACATAAATATGTTGGATTTGGAAAGTGACTCACAAGTTACAATTGTTTATTTTTCCTCGACAAAAACACATATTTATGACGACGGCTCTGCAAACTAATTTGGGATCTCTGAATCCATATATGACAAAGGTCGATTGTTTTCTACCACTACGTACAAGACTATCTATTATTGAATTTATTGTTCTAGATATATAAAGAAGTTTAGAAGAATAAAAACTATCTTTCAAGATCTTGATATTTTCTGATTCTGAAACTATTATCATCAATTGAAAACAATTTATTATAAATATGATTTGATGCTACATAAAGTTTTCATACAATCTATTATCATATAAGTGCCTTAACTTCTGAATAAAAGAACGAAAGACTAGCTCATATATTTCGTGCCTCCAATAAACTATAAAGTCACAACTTTTATTCCAAATTATTCTAGATCAACAAAATATATATGCAAAGAAAATATGGTAAATGGCATTAAATCATGGAAAAAGGAAACTACTTAATATTTCTTTTTGTAATGTTATTCATGGTCTTGCAAAAAGAGAACCTCCTAAAAAATATCGACTACCAAATAATTGAGTTATATAGGGATCGTGTTATATTTGTAGTGTTAGAAAAAAATAACAGCCGTGTTAAAACAAAATAAAATAAAATAATAAACAGCATGAATTATAGGAATAAAATTCTAATTGATAAATACCATTTAAGTGTAGTTTTATATATTTTACTTACTTTATAAATTTATATAAATTGGTAAAGTTTAATAGTTTTATAATATCACATTGTAGTTTTAAAATTTATAATTTTACAGGGTTTTCTCAAATTTGTATTCTTAAAATATATATATTTTTTTACTAATATCTTTCATAAAATCATTTTTTTGTGCAACAAAATCAAATTTATAAAATAAACGGTTATGAATTATGATTGAATAACAGTCATTTAGTCATTGCTTCGTTAGTATCATTTCTCAGGCGTGACTTTACTTTTGCAGAGAGACCCTTTCTTTCCCTTTTTTCTCAACTTCAATGATTTTAGTGGATATATTTATTACAAGAGAAAAAAAAAATCTTGGGAATCTGAAAGAGTTAAATAAAAAATAATTTTCAGTGGTGCTATTTACTGTGACTGGTGTAAATCAATGCAAGCATAAGAAAAGCTTTCCATCTTCCATTTTTCTGTCCTAACCTGATCTCAAAGAAAGAAATGAAGAGTACTATGAACGCTACTCGGAGATCATCAGCTCGAATAACGTCGGCAGCATCTCAACGCCGGCAAAAACCTGAGCCAGAACCGGCGATGAAGAAGTTCATCAAGATCATTCTCACCTCAACAATCCAGGAAAAAATGATGGTAAATAAAACATTTATAATACCAGATTATTACTTTATTACTTAAGCCGAAACTATATATACATTTTTTTATTTAATAAAAATAAATTTGCTTGCATGTGTGGAAGATTCCGGCAAGATTTGTGAGATTAGGTCCTAAACTCACTGACACTGTGACTATCCAAACTCCTGTTGGTTTCAAGCGTTCGATCCAGATCAAACGAACCGGTAATGATGTTTGGTTCGAAAATGGTTGGAGTGAGTTTGCAGAGGCTCATTCTATAAGCCAAGGTCATTTTCTGTACTTTTGTTACGAAGGGAACTCAAGCTTTCGTGTAATGATCTTTGATGTGTCTGCTTCTGAGATTGATTACCCAATGGACAAAGTTCATGTCATTGAGAGTGATGATGATGAGGTGATGGAAGTTATGGATGATGAAGAAGAAGAAAGTTTTACTAGGGTTGAAAGTAGTGATAGTGATTCGACTTCGAGTGATGATGACGTGATTGACTTGGAAGAATTGTTGAAGAAGAAACCAAGAGCCAAAGTCAAGTCTGAGAAGATTACTATTGGTAATGTTTCAAGACTTACACTAAGGATTTATGTTTTCTTCTTTCTTTCTAATGTGTATGTGATTTGGCTATTCATCTTTGTTGTAGATTTATGGTGAAGAGACTGAATCAATGGATGAGACTGAATAAGATAAAAGAGCCTTGAGGAGGAGTAAGAGAAGTTCTTAAAACTTGATGTTTTTTTTTTCTGGTTTGTTTTTCCTACAAAGGTCCCTGCAGTTTCTAACCGCAGGAAAGCTATCGGTTTCTAGCCTCTTAATTGTAGTAACGTAATGTGTGATTATCATGTCTAAATCTTGCAAGAACTTTATGCTAAATTGTAGTAACTTAGTTTGCTTGTGTAATGTAATGTCTAATGTTGAAATGAGTATGTTTGTGTCCAACTCATTCTGTTTCTTCATATTTTGTGATATAATCACCCTACATCCTGCATGTTAAACAATCATCTCCACTAATTAAATCAATAGTGAAACCGTGGATCGGAACCAAACTCATTCAACATCATAATTGACTACAATAAATATTGCAATAACTTTAAGCTTAATTGTAGTCAACTCGTCCTGAATTTGCCTGTTAATATTTTGTATTATCATCATCCTACATTCTATTCCTACGCAAATCATATCATCAGCTTCACCGAAAAAGTCAATGGTGAAACAAGAACCAAACCAAGACCCTTTAACGGTTTAACCACAACATAATCAACATCCACATAAACATTGTTCCCCTGGTTTACTCACCAGCCAGCCAAATTGATGAACATAGAAGTAATTACATCTCTACTTTTGACACTAACTACCACTCAAACAAAGAGTTTTAATACTTAATCACACGGCAAACATAGGAACCTGAAATTTCACTCAGAACACAACTAAAAACCCTAGAGAACCAGAACTTATTCTCCAAGAAATGCAAGAGAGATCAAATAGTTAAAAGACACTACATGAAATTTTGGACTTTGACAGCAACATTTCTCACACGTACTGATTGACGCGAAAGGCGGTGACTTTCAGAACGAAGTCACGAGAACTGAGAAGCTCAAACACACAAACATCTCCTTCGCCTATGTTGTTCTCAAGTGTGAACTCATACCATCCTTGGCTAAACTTAGCTCTCCCTGCTTTGTAAAGACACCTCACTGGCCATTGCTTCTCCCCTAGCTGGATCTTGATGAAACCAGATATCCCACTCAAGTACTTCTCAGCAAATCCAGAAGGCAAGTACTGTTACGAAACAGGTAGACTTTAAGTCAAATTTTGAACATGAAGCATATATTTTAAGAAGTTTGTTTACCATGATGCAGCCTCTGTACAGATATGATGGTCGCAGAACAACTCTAAAGAAAGGGTTGGTTGGTTCGTAGGTTTTGGCTGCAGTGATGGCTCTCTCTCTTTCCTCTGCAGTTACAGTTCTCATTCTAGCAGAAGCACTCTCGTAGAACTTTGAGCGGTTCTCTGAGTCATCTCCACGTGGAGTAGACGAGTTTACTTCCTCTGCACATAACAACAAAAAGAAATATGAATCTTTTGACTATTTTCAGAACAAAAGGTCTCTGATACTTACCAGGGTTAGGATTCTTCTTCTTCCTTCCTCTCTTCTTAAGTACTTTCGGCGTAGCTTCAGGTTTTGATTCAGCGAACAAGCTTTGGGTGGTCGTAGAACCGTCATACCCTTTATTAAGGGGTGTGGTAGATTCAGGGATCATTGAATGAATCACCTTGGAGTCTTTGTTTTCATGGCTCTCAAACAATCTAGCACGTTTGTTGACCTCACTGTGTGCTGAATCCATGTTCAAAAGAGTACTTGAAAGGTCTTTGTAAGTGAAAGCTAAAAAGAAGGGATCAGCTTTGCTTAGTCCTACATACCATACATAACCATCAGGTACAGTGAGTGCAACAGCAAACCAAAAAAGATATCAAACATAGTGTAGTTTAGAATCACAAAGCATGAATAAGCACATAATGCCAGGAGAAAAGAGAGTTATGTCTGGTTAAAACCATCATCCAAGTCAACTCATTGTCTTTCTAACTCTCTCTCTCTCCTCCATTAAGCCGACAGATACACTATACATGTCTTAGAGTTTCAATGATGCGTTACAAACTAAGACCAAAGTCAACTTAAAAGTCCTAATATCTCATCCGACAGACACTATACATGTTTTAAGGTTTCAGTTGTCGACATACTAAGACTAAAGTCAACTTAAAAGTTCAGCCTTTTCTCCTAATAACACCCGCAATAAATCTGACACACGAAACACAACTTGAGAAGTATCAGAAGTATTAGAGAAACATAAATCACAAAACCAAGACTAAACAAAGAACATAGGAGCAGACTTATTGATCCCAAACTCATTAGAACATAAACCCAAAAAGAAGACACTTTTCACTTAATTTCCAGTACCCAAACCACAAAAGAAGACACTTTTCAACTTAATCGAGCAGCCCAACACCAGATTCTTCACTTAAAAACAGTCTCGTGCAGTACCTAAACCCAAAACAAAGGAAGACACTTTTCACTCAATTATCAGTACCCAAACCAAAAAAGAACACACTTTTCAACTTAATCGAGAAACCCAGCAACAGATACTTCAAAACTTTAACAAGTCAAATGCAGAAAGAAGAAAACCCTTTGAAAGAGGAGAGAAATTACCTGGCTGTTTAGTTGAACAGTGGACGAGAGAACAAGGCTGTGGAAGAGAGGGCCTGCCATGTTAAGATAATCAAGTAAAGAGATAACGAAGAAGGGGGTTAGATCATGAAACGACGCCGGATAATTCGAGAAAAAACCTTTTTTCAGATCTGAAACCAAGTTTAAGTTTCGATTTTGGTCAGAGGGTCTTTCTCTTTCTCACTCTCTCTTGTTTTGAAGAAAGGAAAAAAAATACACAACTTGACCTTAATAAAGCTGGTGCGAGTAAAATCTGTGTGTTTTCTACTTGACTCGGTAATTCGAACCGGTGAGTTGACTCGTTTTGGGTTCTTTTTTTGGTTAACTAATTAAGAGCGTATCGCCCCCACCAACTGCCCTTTTCACCTAATTTCTGTTTCCCTTTTAGTAATTTAATAAATGCTTTTGTTTGGTATTTCTTTGCTCTTGGCATATTATTTCATCTTTGGTTGGGTAAATTTTTGTTTATTTCATTTCTAAGAAATTTGACTCAATAACACAAAAAACCATAATTCATTATGTAACTAAGGTTTCTAATGGTAAAAATAGTTCGAGCGGAGCAGATCAATAAATCGTGCAAATCAAATGATTTACTAAATTATGAATGGCAAATATAGTTCAAAAGAACAGATCATATATTAAAATAATAAAAGAGAAAATAACTAAAATAGCACTAAAAAGTTTTTTTTTCATAAATATAACACCTAAAAATAAATTAATTAAAATACCATTAATGTTTTATCAAAAGAGATAAATATACACTATATCCCAATGATAAATTAATTTAGACATCAGAGTTTAGAGTTGAGGAGTGAGATTTATGGTTTAGGGTTTAGAATTTAGGTTTTAGGGTTTGGAGTTGGAAGTGAGTTTTTGGGGATAAAATTTCAATTTTAGAAAAAAAAAAAAAATTCAAAAGATAAAATGTTATTTTGGTCATTTTAGTTTTTGAGGGCTATTTTTGTGACATAAACTTAGAAATGTGCTATTTTGGAGATTTTTCCATAATAAAATCTATAACTAAACAATCAACTATTAAATATTATATACAATAAACAAATAAAATTAAAATAATTTATGGAAAAATATTTTTATTATATTAAATTATATTTTGATACTATTCTTTCAATATTTTAACTTCATTAATTTATACCAAATAAAAATATAAATGTAATTATATATTAGCTTCATTTTTTTTTATCCTAAAACACATATTATCAATGCTATGTAAGCAAATTGAGAATTTTGTATTTATGTGTACGACATATGACAGTTTATTCCAAGCACCACATACAAAACTATTTATTTTTGTATTTTGAAGCTAGGAAATATGTGGAATATGCTGAAACTTTCCTTTAACTCTCTAGATTTTGTGAGAATCACTTTTTTTTTTAATTTATATTTTTCGTATATAGTGGTCTATATATTTTAAAATATATTATATTAAATTGTATTTTAATTAGAAGAAAATTAATTTTGTATTTAATTATTTAACTATCAATATTTTTTTTTATATTTTGAAGCTAGGAAACATGTGGAAATATGCTGAAACTTTAATTAATTCTCAATCTTTTGTGAGAATAGTTGTTTTTATTTATAGTATTTCGTATATAGTGATTATTTATTTTAAACAATTTTCTTATTTCTTAGTATATATATTTAAAAATATATTATATTACATTTTAGAATTGTAATTAAAATAAAATTAAGTTTGTAATTACAGTAGAACCAATAAATTTAAACAAATTTTTATTATTTCACTATCAATAACTTTTATTTACTTAGTAACGTTTTAGTTTTATATTTTTTAAGAAACACTTATAATTAATTTTAATGATAAATCAATATATATATATATATATATATATATATATATATATATTTTTTTTTAATAATGATTTGTAAGTTCTTAGTCATTACCATATTTTAAAAAACTTACCAAAAAAATAAACAAGGAAAATTTACTTAATGGTAATATGAATTATTATTCATTACCTTATTTCAAAAATATTGCCAAAATAATGAATATTTATTAAAGAAATTTACATGTCACAATTACAAAGATACCATGTCATATTTTTTTAATAAGTCATGCCATCTTTTTCTTGAGAATAAATGTGGTTAAGATATCTAGGCAAATCACTTCGCAAATAATGTTTAGGGAAACATAAGCGTAAAGAAATAAATTAGAAAAAAAATGAACTGGTTTAAAAGAGATAAAATAAATGTCTAAATGATTTTTACAAATTATGGAAATTTTGCAGATATGACTCAAAACTTCAAGTCAAATTCAAAAGTAAATCATGTTTTTTTAAAAAAAAATTTCATTTGTATTTTTCACCCCTCAAGTTCGAGTTATTCACTAAAATACCTTTTTTAAAAAAAATGCTTGGTTTACTCAATCATCTCCTCTTTTATTTACAATATTACAATTGTCCAATGCATCAACCACCATGACTAACCAATTTCAAGCTCTAAAGGCACCTGAAATCAACATCTCCATACCCTCATTTCTTACACACACAAACCATTTTTCTTTCACTCTCTCTCTCATTTCATTCCAAAATCAAAACTTTTTATTTTAAAATTTATAAGCTTACTAGAGTTAATCAAGTTCATGATTCTTGGTTAAGAATGAGTGGGTACCTTTCATTAAGAATTTATATGTGCTTGGAGAAGCTAAACATGAATCTCATCGGATTTAAGAATGATATTTAAATTTTTTAGATAGGTTTCGAGAAGAAGAAATGTTTATAGAGAAGTCTTATTGTGAATGCATAGGTGAGATGTCTTTTTGTCAATGCATAGGATATTTTTGCAATTGACTTTTATGTGGTTTTATAGAATAATTCTCTAGAAGTCTTCTAACTTTTCTTTCATAACTCATGTGTATTAGTCAATATTGGGGTTCATGAAAGAAATTCATAAATTAATTGGTGATAATTATGAAGTTACAAAAATTAATGTTTATTAATTTTTTAGCTAATGAGAAAAGAGTTTTGTCGAAGTTTTTTTTCAAAAGACTTCTACATAAGTCTTCTTCGTTATTTTTTGTAAAATTTGCAATTTTTTTCCGAATTTGAAATGAGTTTGTAAGATTTTCTTATTAATTCATGTATATTTGTTAATAGTTGTTCTCATGAATAAAAAATCCAGAAAAAATCATGAATTTATCATTATTTGATCTTATGTGATGTTAAAAGTGTTATATTGTTATAAATTTTCTCCAAATTTAAAATGATTTCTTAAGATTTTCTTGTTAATTCATGTGTAATTAGTCAATATTGGAGTTCAGAAATGAAATTCATAACTTAATTGGTGATAGCTATGAAGTTACAAACACTAGGGGGCGGCCGGTGCTATGCGCCGGGTCTTGGTGTCTGACCCGAGAATTTTAAGATAAATTTAATATAGGTTGTTTGATTTGAACACTATACTTCAGTTTGTATAATATTCAACTGCTGGTTGTTTGGAAATCATAGGTGCAAAAAAAAAATTCTTTTTTCTTTTTAGAAGTGAAATTTCGTAGATTTAGTTATCACCACTAATTCATGCTGGGGTTTTTATTATAGTAAACCGGTTTGTTGTATATTTTATTAATAATATATTATCCGCGTTGCTTCCTTTTGCTTGACATCTGATAGTTGAACTAATAGGCATTCATATATAAAGGACGTTTTTTTTTAATATAGATGAAGATAATATAATGCAAACGATGAGGTACTCATGCAAAAAGTTTTTCAAACTGAACGCTGATAATGAGAAAATTAAAGTAACATAGAAGTTGAATGTGTAGACGGTAAGAGCGGAAAGCATATACGGTTGATGTTCATTCCATGACCTCGTTGAAACCCATAATCATCTTGTAAAAGTGGATTAGCAGAGCGTAGTGGAAACACTTTGAACAGACCGTTGTTTTCCCTCCTGCTTCAAGATGACAGTTTAGATCCGGCCACAGCTTTAGGATTGAGTTGACGCAGACATCTTTCATGTGAAGAAGTTGTGGTTGAACGGACTGCTGGAATTCTGCCATGCAATCTTCGACCACTGTAACACCTTCATCATCGGTGAGGGCGTTGATGATGGTGATGCCTTCGGCAGTCTAGCCTATGGCTAGGAGTAGAACACCATAGACGTATCTTCCTTGTCGGTGATCATGATCTGCTGCTATTTTGATGTGATGTAGTCCCAGAGTCCTATTTTGGGCTTGGAAGAATTGTAGAAATCCTTTAACAAAGTGAGCATCCGTGTTGTCCGCTGTGAGGCAGGTTTTCAAGAGTTTCGTGTGTCGGTTAGCTATAGCTGGCTTCTTTACAAAACTTGTTAGGCTGAGAGAATTGGCGACGTCGGTGTTCTTGTAACTGAAGCTAAGGATTTTGCAGGAGATGATTGTGTTGTAGTAATCTCGTGGTGAGTTTTCCCAACTTTTGACACAATCTGAAGACGTAGGTCTTGGGGGAGTGAGTCAAGTTTGAGCGTATGATGGGTTTTTTTTCATGTTTGTTTTTTCCTTTTAGTTGTAAGGATGTAACTATGGATGGGAGTTTTTGTTTGCTATATTTGTTTATATATTATAGTGAAGAAGGAGGTGTGGTGTGTTTGGTAGAGTTCCATTTTTGTTTTACGTTTTTTTTTTCCTTCGATTGAGTGGTCCGCTTAATTGGGCATTTAACATTTGTGTTTTATTGTTCAAATTTATGTATGAGCGTTACGTTTAATATTGAATTAAAATAGATCTGGAATTTTGAATAATTGTTTAAAAACCATCACAACCATTTCTTCTCACAATCAGGAGTGTAATATGTATATTATCAGGTAAAAGTTATTTTATATTTGGCTTTTGATTTGTAGATTTTTTGGGGGCTAGGATTATAATATTTTAGATGAAGTGATTAGGAGAGAGGATGTTTAACAATTCTTATTTCCCGTGTTAAATTTTTTTGCTTTAATTTTTCGTAATTTGGAATTTTATGTAATTATGCTGGTTTAACGTTTCTTTGAACGTAATGAATTTGGTAGTAATTGCTGGAGTTTGCGTAAAAATTTTTATCATCCGTGATTAAATCAATACTTTAGTAATTATAGCTAGTGTTTTAAACTGCTTTTGAAAAGATTATTGTAGAAGTTGTTTGGTTTTTTTTAAAATAATTCACGTTAATTATGTAGCATAGCCGGTGGAGCAGATGATGGACCGTCCTTGTCTGTATTGACGTCTGAATCTATTTGACTAATATTATTTATTAGCTCAACTTGTGTTATATTTGATCGGATCGAACTATAATGTATTAAGTGTATAGCAGTAGTAG